TTTTTTTCAAAATATACTGAATTTACTTGATAAGTACAGAATATGTGCAAATATATTGAATTGCCTGATCAATACAATATGTACAAATAAATGTATGTTTTATATAATAGGTTTTAGCGGTTTTCATTTCCAGCAGTCGTCGTTCTTCATGGGTGATAGTGCCCGAAGCAATGAGCGAAGTCAAATAGCCACCTTTTTGGATCAATTTGAAGATGTACATTTTAGAAGTTTCTTTTTCTTACTATTTAAAACATCATTCGCTTTTATTGCAGATTCTAGCTATGAAAAGAGTGGTTACGCTGGTTTTAGACGATCCAGCTGGCAACAGCTATATCCAGGTAAGACGCAGGAGTTTAGAAAATGTTAGGTTTTCGTCAAGATCTTGGGTTATCTCAACTTTTGATTTGATGAAATCATTTCCCTTACTCTTTGAATAAATCAGTTTGAAATCTTTCCTTTGTTCAAATTGTGAATGATTGTTTATTTTTTATTCAAAATAGCTGCCTTTCCTCCCTTTTGCCACACCCAACGAAATAAACCAAACGAAAATGTCGGATGTTCTGTTAGAAAGTTATCAAACATATCTGCTCGATTTGATTGAAAATGACATCCCTACCGTAGTAAAATAGGAAATGAAGCTGTACTCTTGTAGAGCTTGAGCGCACCCCTTGAAGATCCCCGTTTGGTCAAAGAGTTCTACGAAAGAACGTTTGACCAAAATGAAGAGTTGGGTTTGAACGACATGAAAGTAAGTCTTCCATATTTTAGAGTGTTTCTTACCACTGTCATATTTATTTCTCAGGTGGAAAATTATGAGGAACTCGAAACGGTCAAAGAAGAAGCGGAAGAAGAAGTTAAAAAATGATACCTCTTCAATGGCTCGTTAACTGTGCTCTCAACTGTGATCCTCATTTAATTGTTGTTTTACTCTGTTTGTTGAATTGTTGAGTTTTATAAACCCAAATGATTTAGAATCATGTATAACATTTGCACACTCCGAAAAATATTTTATACATGAAAGCTCAAGATTACGACAAATACAT